TTCGCAGCTGTTTCCCAACGCACACCCTGTCTCTTATCCTTGTTTCCCTGCGGTCTTCGCCTCACTCTGCTCCGCTAACGGCGGCTTGTATACCTCTGGCTCCTCAGGCCCTGCCGTAGGTATATTCCTTACACAAATCGACTTCCTTCCCTACTCGGGGGAGATTGGAATGGCAGTAACTCATCTGTGGACTGCGCGCATCACCCCTTTACCACGATTCAACTGCCTAGTGCTTTCGTCTCCCCTAACGCCTAGGCTCTCCCGTTTAAACGCTCAGTTCCATCGCTGCCAGAACGTGTTGGCTGTCCACTAGATTTTTCCCTTGTCTCTATGTTTCTTCAGGCTTATGTTGGACGCTCTGTAGCGTAGTGAGCCATGCCTCCACACTTCTTACATATTTCTGCAGTTCTCTGCTAGGCCTCGTTACGCAACCGACACTGTCGCGCAGTATGTTTCGTGCTCTTACATTCGAAATAACCGCTACCTCGCGGGTCACGTCGTGCTTTGGGAGTCGGCCTTTTTCCGTCTTCTTGCTTCTCATCGCTGTATGTTCCCCTTCGCTGTAACATTTGTTGTACTATTATTCTGCATTGTCTCGCGTCGTGTACTGTTCGCTCTCTAGTTCGTATGACTTTCTTCAATGCCTTACCAGCCTTTTGCCAGAACTCAGAGGTTCTTTTACCGTTGGCTATCAGAGCGAATATAACGTAATCAGGTAAATTGTCTTTGAATACTCTTAACGAGCCTTCTGGTGTTAGACGTTCATCCTGACTCGATTCCAACGAAAATTCGGCAACATACTGTACCGGGGTATCCTTCCACCGTATGCTTACTAGTCGGATCCTCAACTCTTTCAATACAGCACAGAACGTTGTAGGCATCTCTTCTCAAACCTCCTCCCAGTTAGCTAAATATACTCCAGAGGCCCATAAATGATACCGATAATATGTTTCGTAGATACATGGGGGCACCGATGCCTCACCGTGCAGTAATTACAACAAATCCGCTCAATAAGGTCTCTATGTGCGGACCCAAGACCGAATGCAAGAGATCCAGGGTTTTAACATCCCAGGAACAGCCCCCAAATGTAATGAACAACGGGCTGTTACTACCTACCTATGCACCGTACCCTATGGCAACCCTACTGGGTTCAGACTCTACGCTCTACAGACAGCCTATCTATATATTACACGGGCTCAAACACCCAAATAATTGCCTTTAAAAGTATCCCAATCGAGTAATATTGAAAAGGAAATCCAGGAATAGCAGTTCTCCCTCGTGACTCTGCAGTCAGTCAGAGTCCCCCAGCCGCTGCATCACTCACAGCCAGCCCTAACCTGGTGGACCGCCGAGCATTCTTGACTTTGTTATTGTAAATTTCTACATAGAGTATTGCCATTTATCTCTATTAGTATTTTGTTTGTTATATTTGATCTAACAAGGTCTCCACATTTTCCACTTCAGCTGCACTGCAGTGCCTGTGCACAGCACGCGGTTTCCGTCGGGGACGACACGAGCCCTCTTAAACGGCGATAAACACGAGGCACACAACAATTCTACATAGAAATTTTCTTGTATTACATTATTTTAATATTAATTATATTTATTTTCAAGCTTTGCTCTCATTTTCGGCACTATTGCTCCGTACTGCTCCATCCGCAGTGCACGAGACTTGAGGAACAACCGAGGAACTCCGACTTCTTTGCCTACTTTCCTGAACTCCTTGATTTGTGCATATTTATTTCCGTTCCTTTTTGAAAGAAAAATATATTGAATTTCTCTCTCTTCGTTCACAACAATGGCTTCTTTCTACAAGACTGCAACAGCAGTGTGCCTCGTCGCACTCGGTGTGCTCCAATCAGAGGCACAAGGGAATACTCCAACATATAAATTTAAAGTAGTGGATGTAGATGAAGGTGAGCATGTTTTCCGCTCCATTTCCCCCATCATGCTTTTCTCCTTCCTGTTTGATGTCAAGCCACCAAGTACTCTGCCGCGGCGGACCCTTGGTCGCCTCATTGCTGTATTCCCTCTTGTCACTTAGTTCCTGTTTCTCCGCCGCAGACGCTTACTTGTCCGCCAACTTGGCCCGTAATGGAAAGCTCCCAGTTCA